CCGAATGATTCTGAGCGATACGTCAGAATGTTCGATGCATCTGGATCGTAATCGATATTGTTCGTCTGCCTTCAGCAAAATGCTCACGTTGCTTTATGAATCATAATTCGCCTTCTTGTTTGTATTCGGCCCAGAAATCGGTCGGTTCATAACACATCCACGAGGGCTTGTTTTCTTGCTAATTTTGTCTTGCATCGATCCAGCGTTGAGATGGTGGCAATGAAGTAAACTAACGGGGCAGAAAATCTGCAACATTTTCATTTTGGACGATATATGATTACTATTTCATTGTCCGTGACTACCTTCCATAGAAATGAAAGCACGCTCGTCATTCGAGTCTTCTTTTTCATCGAGATTCTTTTTTTTAGAGATATCCCTATCAGCCTGTCAAGGTGTGTATTTTACTCTCGGAACAAAATAAAGACATGATTATTCTTTAAGTTTGCTATTAATTGGATAATTAATAAAATGGTATCATTATGAACAAATTAAATTTCATAACACAAGATTTATATTGAATCCGCGAAGACGAAGGAAATTCTCGAAGCAAAAAAAAATAATAAAATGTCTAAATCATTTATAGCATTTGCTCCGTTACTAAAGGAACAATATTTGTACATGCGGGCAGTCATATATCTTTTTAAACATTTCATCCTAGGAAAGTCGGGAGTGCCACTAGAACGCAAGGGGTTACAACGAGTAAAGAGACGTGTTCGAGGAAAGGATAAACAGAAGGACGGGGGACAAGATCAAGACATCAGTAGATGTCAGTTGACATTACATTTGAATACTCGAAGATAATAGCTATCTTTGAAGTAAGAGGAAGGGGGTTCCACAGACGGTAAGTGCGAGATATGCTGTTGGTGTAGAAGAGACGGCTACATTTAACTGTCTCGACAATGAAAGAATGGAACTGGGATGCCAACCTAGTAACACGCTTAAATTCATGCATTTTGGAAACCAGCGAACGTAGATCGTCGGAGCAGTTGTCGGGAAAATACTTGTAGAAAAGACAGAGGGAAACCACATCATGTGTGTAAGAAAGTGACTGTAAACGAGATGCCAGATTAGGACCCATTATATTGCATATCTGTTTCTGGATTTTGTGGAAGACCTCGAGACAAACAGCGGGGTCGCCAAACCATATATGGCAGTAGTATTCCATGCACGGACGAGTGGTTGATTTCAAGGATGGACTCAGGCGAGAAAACGCTTCTTATGCGACACAGAGAACTAAATTGCCTTGCGTTAGATGAAGCTATTGATTCAGTTTATTTGTTCCACCTCAGGTCAGCGGACAGCGTGAGACCAGGCAGGGACAGAGAGGCTTGATTCGAGGTTTATAAAATCTTATACAAATTTTAAAATGTATTGACGAGAGAAAATTCTGATATATATTTTTCTTCACTCAGCCATATTTATATTGTTTTGTTGTTGTTATCATTATTGTGTGTGGTACCATCTTGCCAGAGAATAAGTTAAAGTGGTGAATTACCATCTACCATCCGGGGTCTATGAGTCAAAATGACATTGTAGGAGAGTTAATTATGCACATTTGCGACGTTTCATTTAGACAGAGAGGGTTTTTTGTATGATATGTGCAGTTCGACACAGAAATATTTTGTAGCTCTAAGATGTTGCTGTGACTATTACTGAAATCATTTTTGCTATCGTTCTTTATAATACCAAATACCAAATACCAAATACCAAATACCAATATAACAACCGTGATAATTGTATTTTGAAGATTCCACATTTCTGCTACTTCGATTTGTAGCTCTTTATAATTTAACAGTTTTTAAAATTCTCTTTTTGAGAAATAATAATATTTTTTAAGCAAGTCACAGTAATTCGTTTGCTGGTTCTTTTTACATACAGCCATCCTTGAAACAGCATTTCTCGTCCGGTTACCGAAGTTAAGCAACTTTCGACGCGAGTCAGCAGGGCCTCGTTGGGAGAATATTAGAGATCGTAGGCTTCGATATGCTGGGGGATGTAATGGTGTTATGTAGTAGTTTCACAGTGGAGGCTTGTATTTCACTAAACGCCAGACTGTTCTATCTTTTTTTCATCTTTCTTTACGCTAACATATCTTGTGCAGTCTTCTGCCAAACTCTCTATCGTAATTCTTGATTGGTTTTCCAATTTTGATAGTACCAATTTCCTCAACTCTGCGTGTCTTTTCGATACCAGCCCTTAAACAAACACTAAGCACTTGAAGTTGTCAGTTAACTCTGCTAGCTTGAATTCTTTACAATGCTTATTCACATTGGCTGCGTACGTTATATAGTCTTGTTCATCCTCTCAGATTCAAACATTTCCACCTCTTGTGAAACAAAAATGTCTTTTTACTAAATAATTCACTTAATATATTTACCGCCTCGGTAAAAGTCAACACGCTAGTTTTTTTCGGTAAAATGTAGTTTACCAATTTGTTATGCTCAGCAGTTCGTAACTTGCTTAAAAGAAGTCTAACCTCCTTTCCTTCAGACCACGTGTCACAGTCCTCGTTATACACGTCCGTATATTTTTTTAAATACTCTTCAAAAGTTATCTCTTAGACTGTACGTGAATATTTCAATCGAATTCCATATTGTATTCTCTGGGAAAGAATCATTTTGTAGATTTTTCTCTTTCCTCTTCTCAGTTATTTCCAGAATTTTGTTTTGAAACTCCTTATGCATTTGTTCCATTTCTCGTTGAAATTGCATCTGTCTATTAAAAGTTTTCATCTGTAGTTGCATCTGGAATGTTCTCTGTTGCTCTAATATTGTTATCTGTTGTTCCGTCTGGAACTTAAAAAATTCCTGGAATATATTTTTGCATTCCTCCATCTTCGCAAAAAGTTTACACAATGCTTAAATATTGTAGAGGGGGGGGGGTCCAAAACGAATTTGCAATTCGTGACCTATTTGAGAAAACTGTTTTATCGAGAGAAAAAAATTCCGAAAAGCCGAAAAAATTCTTTTCTAAGTTGAGAATACGACTGATTTTTTTCGTCACTAAGTTGACGTCATGTCTTTCGAAAAACTTCTTTTTTTTTCTTCGTATGAATTTCGAATCCTGGTCGCCAATGTTGTTATAGAGTAGGAAAATGTTTTTTTTCTCCGTATGAATCCGAATCCCTTGTCGCCAAATTGTTATGTAGTAGTTTCACAGTGAAGTCTTGTATTTCACTAAGTCTGTCCTAAAAAGGTCCGACGTACAAAACGTTAGGAACTTGTTATAATAGTTAATGACGCAGCAATCTAGCTGTGGTGGTTGATACTTTAATGTCCGACATCGATAGACTGACCAAATCCCTGAGAGTATTTAGTCACACACCCACGAGGGCATAATGTGGCACAGGGCCGGTTTAACGTGGGATCTCCGAGCCCGTGGGCTCGGCCAAAAATATACCCTTTGAATCCGTATAAACGGGTTCAGGGTCGGTTTAACCCCCGAAAGAGAATCCGCCCTTCAGCGGAGCCTCGTTCGGGTTCCTCCCCGCCCGAAGGCAGAGAGTTCAACCGGTCAGCCGGTCGTCCGACTTCAGACTGAACTCGGACCAACTCACTGAGCCCCCTAGCGACTGCTACTACTACTACTATTCATTATATGTGGGAGAGTCTATTAAATATAGAATAGGTGTGTTCCAGTATAACAAATGGATAGAATCCGATTTCGAATAACAGTCACGTACGTTACGTTCTCTTGCATGCAAATGCTCTTGCGAAAGGTACAAATTGACATATTCCCTCCTCCCGCAGTTATGGGTTAAATAGACGTACAATTCAATTTATATTTTTATATATATATATATATATATATATATATATATATATATAGCATGTATGGTGAATCGTAAGAAAGAAATAAAATGTATTTTGGTAAGCGAACTTCTATGAACAAAAACAGTTTTTTTGTATTTTTGGTCTCCCATAATTCAAAAGAATATCCCGAAAAATTGAAGCGGTCTTTCATAAAAAATGGCGTATTATGAATATTTTTGAATAAATAATAAATATAAAAATAATACTCTAAAACCTGTTCTGAATACTTAAAAATATTTTACGACGAATTATATTACGATTTTCTATAAACTAATGATGAAATCAATATTTAAATTATTGCTCTTCGTTTATTTCTTAAGTCGTGGCTTTACATAGTCAAAAGTCACCTGTTTAGCCAAAAAGAATCAAGTAAACTATGTGCGACCAAGTTGCTGACTGCTATGATTTGATGGCCTTTTTCCTCTAAGCTATTCAAGTTATAATTTGAATGGTATACTTTGGGCATTAAAGACGAAATAGAACTGCCCGCAGGGTAATTTCTATCGAACTGAATGTGTTCTTCGAATTCTAAAGAAGGTAATCAGCGTATACGGTGACATATTCTTAGGAAAATTTCCAAATATTCAGAAATTGAATTGATTCTAAATTCGTAATGATTTGTTTTACTATATTTTTTTTCATGCCTGAGTCCATATTCTTAATGTAAATATGTGCAAATGATAACAATCTGAACTTTTTTTTCGGTTCATTAAGGAATTTATGTTTTCCAACGACGGACTATGTGATGTACCGTATATGCCTTCGCATAACTCGAGCCCTCACATAAGACGCCCACAATTTGACTGGGATATTTTGTGTGAAAATTAATATGTTTAGTCGTAGGTTTATTGAAATATACTTCAAAGTCGTTTTGAAGGGGGCGTGTAATTTTGTGCATGTAAATACAACATTGTAACAGTAGACTGGCAAAAAGTATGAAATCATAAAATCGTAGTTTTAGCCTTCAAAAGAAAATAAATCCAATTTGCCAAAGCAGAAAAAAAATCCTGCTCCATTTCTATCAATGAGTACATATAAAAATGCAAACAGATATGAAGCAATTACTAATGTTCAATAAATGTAAATTAATTCTTATAGATAATTCCATTACGTACAGAAAAAAGCAAAATACTTCAGTGAATATTACAAGCAGTATACACAGTCGTCTCCCATAAATCGGCTGTTGGCTTACGACCATACCACGTTCAAAACCCAGTTCCCGGACGATCACTGAAGTTAAGCAACGTCGAGCCTGGCCAGTACCTAGATGGATGACCGCTTGTTTACACCAGGTGCTGTAATCTAGGATGCGCGGTTGATGTAATGAATAATAGCTCGGAAATGTTTATCGTAAAGCCGAGTTCCATTTCCAGTTGGGTCCGTTATATTTCGATTGGGAACGGTATGAATGCACATCTTCTCCTCCAGTTATGGCTTAATTAATAAGACATATCGCTAAATACTTATGATATCAAAAATAAATATTTAGCATGTTCATCATATATTTATTGACATATATTTCCAAGCGGTTTTGAAGGGGAGAACGTATGTTTGTTTGCGCGCAATTTAAAAAAGAAAAAGAAAAAAGAAAGCCATGCGTGATACACGCTTAGGCGAGCAGGCATCTTTCGTTACCTAACTGACGTAGTTTGCTATTTCTTTATGCAGTAGACCAGTTGCCATCCAATGCTATAGAACACGGTCTATCCTTCTATTTACCCATAGCTGAGTTGGGGAAAAATAAGAGAATTCATACTTTTCCCAATTAAGTGGATGTCATGGATTCGATTGTAATTCGAACTCGGCTCTCCGATTCCTCCATCATTTCATTAGTATGCATGTAAATACAACATTTTGACTTTATACTAGAATAGTAACATTAACCTTCAAAGGAAACCAAATTAAATTTGTCAAAGAAGAAAAGAAATGCTGGTCCATTGGTATCAATCTGTTCTGGTACATAGAAAGAAAGCGAACTGGTGTAAAGCAATCAGTAAAGTACAATAAATGGGAATTAATTCTTATAGAAAATTACACAACATACAGAAAAAGCAAAATATTGCACCGAATATTACCAGCAGTATACTCGACTGTCTCCCATCCATAATACGGCTGTATTTGGTGCAGGGTTGATTTTTGGTACGTTCAAAACAAACGAGTCTTATAAGAAGGCAAATATGGAAATTTTCTTTTAGATGTGGCACCTCTACACAGGTTTATATGCGATTTTGTTAAGGAATTACCCGCCCTCAAAGGACGCAACAAAAAATCGGAATTCTACCAAAAGATCTAAGATAATTCTGCTCCAGGAGATCGTCAATATATCTAATTGCTATAAGTTTTCCGACTATGAATAAGCTTACATCCTTGAGTAAACCAAGTAAGCAAGATTAGCTTTATATTCATGGGAATAAACGAAATATAAATATGAAGATTTTGGCTTATACTGTCTCATTCTATGTAAATGGGAGTACTGAAAACTTCTTTGCCCAAATTACTTCCCCAAATCTGGCGAAATAAACTAACATTTGGTTGCATATATTGCTGTTTAGTCGAGAGAGAAAATCCTTCGTACATCTAAATTCATATCAGTGTGATAATTACTGTTTTCATTGTCGTCCATACGAGGCGGCAAATAGTACTATCTTTACGTATATCTATATATATATATATATAACATAGAGGTTGTTCGTGTGTCTCTCTGTCTTTGTGATACCTTTTCACTCGAGGTCCAACCGATTTTGACAAAACTTGGCACATGTATTGTACAATGTAAGAGATAGGTTCTTAGCTTAAAAAACGATAATTTTTAGAAAATCAATGATCGATAAAGCCGGCCAAATATCTATAAATTCAACTTTTTTCCTCCGATTTCGTTCAAACTCGGTATGCCGGTTACTTACATCATGACGAGCTCAACGATACCTCATTTTATTTCTACGCCTCTGCGTTTAGCGAAAAATTGCGAATAAGAAAAAATCGATTTCAACACAAATCGATTTTTAAACTAAAACACGTCAAATTCAAGCAATTTAATAAACACTTCACTCAGTTGTAGGCAACAACAAGTTGATTGTTTAACAGACAATTAACTTGATAAATGGGTCCACCCACATAGCGGAAACCCGCGTAAATATAAAAAAATGGCGATCTTTACAAATTTCTTTCTTATTTTCTTTGATCTTGCAACCAATTTTCATCAAACTTAACAACTGCTTTATAAATTATCCTCTTTTACATTCCTGTTAGCACACTGACAAATTGAATTTATAAAAATCTCCAAAATAATTGTGATCTGAAGTGGGTCTTCATGTTGCCTGTTTTACCCGTTCATGTCCTCGGCTAAATTCGATTGAATAAATGCAGACCACTGATATCAGTAGCTGCATTAATTCAAAATGAAAGTACTTTAAAGTAATTGAAGAATATAGACTCTATTACATCTAAACATGATGCTGTTTTTGCTCCATTCTAATTGAACGCTTTTTCTGAACGACCACCTGGGTATTGCTGTTAGTACTAAATGTTTCTAAAATACCCGAACATTTATCTTCTTGAAAAATATTTGACGGTATAGACTGCAGGAAACCGCTTCTTTGCGAATTTTTGTACATAATTTATTCTTAACTCAAGTTAGTCGTGCCACAAAGATGAAATCGTACAGCACCCCGTTACTAAATAAGAAAAAAGCTGATGAAACATACTTGAAACCCATTCATTTAGGGTGCGTCTCCCTAAATAATAATAAAAAAAAATTACTGTATTTCGTTTAATCTGCCATAGGGTATTAAGTAGTCAGGATCAAATCTCTTTAAAAGATTAAAGTAATCTCCTCTTATCCGCAGTACTTATGTTCCGAGGTCACTAGTAAATGCCAATTGGCGGATATTATTGAACCGTACTTCGTGAAATACACATGAAAGATGCTTTGGCAAGCTTCATCAGTTATTTTTTCTGACGAGGATCATTAGGGGTTTCGGTTCTTAAGGCATAACACCTTTTCTCCACGGCTCATCAATCGAATTGTGCGTCAGCCGTTAGTTATATCGTATCTCATAATTGAACGCTATCTTCACCCACTGCGACAAAAGACCTTCTTAGGCGTTTAAAGTGAAATCCCAATAAACTTCCCCTTCACTAGCTAGGTATACAGTTCTGTGAAAAAATGAAAGAAAACGCAGTCATCGTTTTCTTAGCAAATATAGTGACACTCTCCTCTTGGGCTGGTAACGATCTTAATTTTTCTGATGATAATAAATGCATGCTCCTATAAAAATGCATATTTAGTATTATTAGCTGTAGATTTTTTAAAAAATAACGGAAACCGGAGAGGAGCAAATAGAACAAAGGCAAAGAACGCGGAGACGAACAAATACCACAAACCCCAAAAAATATACTGACAGGAACAAACACCACAAACCCCCAAAATAATGAGATAAGCAAATATCACAAAACCAAAAATTGTGAGAGGAGCAAATACAACAAACCCAAAAATTGATGAGAGGAACAAATAACAAAAAGCCAAATAATGCGGAGAGGATCAAATGCACAAATCCATAAAATGCTGAGAGGAACAAATACCACAAAGTCAAAAACACCGAGAAGAACAAATACCAGAAAAGTCAAAAAAGTGCTAAGAGGAAAAATAATAACAAAACCAAAAAATGCTGAGAGAAGCAAATACCAATGAGTAAATTGATTTTATGATCAAATAAAAGAAGCCAAACTGTTGAGAGGGACAAATATCACTTGACCAAAAATACTGAGAGGGACAAATATCACAAAATCAAAAATACTGAGAGGCGCCAATACTACGAGACCAAAAATACTGAGAGGGATAAATACCACAATACCAAAAATGCTGTGAGGGACAAATATCACAAAGCCAAAAATACTGAGAGGAGCAAATACAATAAAACCAAAATATGCTGAGACAATAAAATACTAAAAACAACTTTTGAGAGAAGCAATTACCATAATGTCAAAACAATGCTGAGAGGGGCAAATGCAACAAACTCAAAAAGTGATCAGAGGAACAAATACCACAAAGTCGAAAATTGCATAACTGATAAAAAATGCTGACATAAGCAAATACCAATATGACATAAAGGCTGTGATGATCAAAAGTTAAAAATGCCGAAAGAAAAATACTACAAAACCCCCAAACCAAAAAGAGTGAGAAATACCACAAAGTCAAAAATGTTGAAAGGAACAAATACTACAAAGCCCAAAATGTAGAAAATAACAAATACCACAAAGACAAAAATACTGAGATAATCAAATACAAGAAAATTTCTGTCTGTAACAAATACTACCAAGGCAAAAATGTTGCTGAGAGGAACAAATTCAACCAATCTAAAAAATGCTGAGAGAAACAAATAACAGAAAGCCAAAAAATGCTGAGATAATCAAATACAAGAAAGCCACAATTCTGTCAGGAACAAATACCACAAAAGCAAAAAATGCCGAAAGAAACGAATACAACAAAACCAAAATATTTTGAAAGAAACAAATTCCACAAGCAAATAGAGCAAAGTCAAAAATGCTGTGAGAAGCAATAATACAAATCCCAAAATGGTGAGTTAATCACATAGCAAAAGCCCCAAAAAATAATTTGATGATAAATACAAGAAAGCTAAAAATGCCGAAAGGAACAAATACTACAAAACCCCCAAACCACTGAGTGGTAGAAATACCACAAAGTCAAAAATGTTGAAAGGAACAAATACTACAAAACCCAAAATGCAGAAAATAACAAATGCCACAAAGCCAAAAATACTGAAATAATCAAATACAAGAAAGGCAATATTCTGTCAGGGACAAATACTACAAAGGCAAAAATGCTGCTGAGAGAAACGAATACAACAAAGTCAAACTATTTTCAAAGAAACAAATGCCACAAAGTCAAAAATTGATGACAGGGACAAATACAGCGAATCAAAAAGGCTGTTGGAAGCAATAACACAAAGCCCAAAATGATGAGATAATCACATGGCAATAAGTCAAAAAATAACCTGATGTTCAAATACAAGAAAGCCATAAATTCTGAGAGGATCAAATACCAAAAAGTAAAAAATAATGAGAGGTGCAAATACCACAAATCCACCCCACCCACATAAATGCTGAAAACATCAACAGGGTTAACGTTGTTTTTATCGTCGTGGAAATTTGAATCACAATCTGTGTTTCATCTGGTTTCCTGCTTTGGTTTCGTTCTCTGTTTTAAGAAAAGTATTAAACCTTCATATTTCTGTCTGTATATGATTTTTTTCTTGGAAAACTGCCATGTTATTATGAGATAT